AGCCACCGGGTCCAGGACTTGAACCACGGTTGACTACATGGGAGTCCAGCAACATAGCCATTATGTCAACTGCTGGTCCCATTAATATATATATTTCTAGACAATAATTTTGTTTTGTTTTTCAGTTAAAAAAAGGATAAAGCTACTGATGTCAGAGGTATGTAAAATATCTTTTTTTTAAAATGTGAAAGTAGAATAAATAAGCAATACTTCTAGTTAACATTTTATACAGTTTATAGTTTTAATATGGACATGTAACTAAATTAATATGAATTAAAACTAGACAGTACTCTGTATTACTCACATCTGTATAAGTTTATATATTCGAATTGGTCCTCTTCAAATAATTTAAAAATACTGATATTATCTCATGGGTAGCCAGAAAAAAGACTTTTATGGCTATATGAACATGCAGCTTGCAAATACAGAAGAATACAAAGATGGAGCATTGTCTGGGCCTAGTGGTTAAAGCAGATGGAAGCTGGATCCCACATGGCCGACTATGCAGTTCAATTCCTGGACCTAGTGGCCTGACAAATATTCAGACTGTGTACGTGTCTGTGCCTAAAATCCCAAACGGAAGGAGAGATGGAGCAGAAAGGACTGTGATGTCACTGTTCTCCTGGGAGGTGCTTTTTGCTCTCCCTCTCTCTCTACCTAAAGTATATACTCTCTGGCCAAAAAAAGAAAGTATTACCTCATTGACACAATGGGGTAATCGCTTTCATCTGTGGCTATCTTAAATGATAACTTCAAAATGAGTATGACAGATCGTAAAATAGAGTATGAAGAAAAATTTTAATTATCTCCAAACTGAATACAATTCAACTTGAAAACTAAAAATATTAAAATATCTTTATAGCACAATTAGAAAACAAAATGATGAGGCCAGCAGGTGGCATAACGGTTAAGGCACTGGCTCCCATATGGCCTACTCCACAGTTCAAGTCCTGGACCACAGAGCTGGAAAAACATTCCAGTGTGTGTGCGTACGTGCCCAAAAGCCAGAGAGAAGGAACTGTGGCATAGCCATCCTCCCTGACAGAGGGGGGCATTTCTCCCTTTCCCTCTCTCACTGCTTTCTGCCTCTTTCCAGAGAGTGCCCATGTCCTACAGAAAAAAATCTAAAAGAAAATCAAAGCAGAATGATAAACCTATTTTTTTTTTTTTTTGGAGAGATTTTCACTGTAGGGTGCGTGCGCTCGCCAGACAGACAGAGACATAGAGACAGAAAGCGAGAAATCACCACCCAGGGGGGATGGTCACGCCGCAATCCCTTCTCCTCCATTCTCCTCTCGGGATCTTGGGCACGCACGCACACGCGCCCGGCGTGAGATAAACCTATTTTTTAAAACTATTTTGATTCCACTTTACTCTAGCTACTATAATTACATTTATGAGGAATAACCTAATAAGAGTCTGATCTTCAATAATTCATTGAAAACTCATTATGGTATAATTTTCTCAGTATTTCTTATACATTACTTAATATTTAAGAAGACAAAGAACTTACATGTTGGTCTTTCAATTCCCCCTGACATCCATAGCAAAATCTGAAAAAGAGTTTCAGAATAATTTAAGAGTTTACTTATTAAAACACTGAAAGAAAATATCAATAATGAAAATATTTTAATTAATAAGTAATTGTTTTTATACATGACTTTTAGGAAAAATATTATTAAAAATAATCTTTGATTATTAAAAATATCAATAATTTTTATGTTTTACTTTTTGCTCACCAGAATACAGAGAGACAGGGAGAGAGGGAGGGAGAAAAAGTGAGAAATCACTCCCCAGGTAGATGACCATTCCACAATCCCTTCTCGTTCACTCTCCTCTTGGGATTTTGGGCATGTGCACACACAGGCACCAATGTGATTCTCAAGCCAATGGGTCCAAGACTCTAATGGTGCGGTCAGCCATAATATCATCTCCTCTATTTCTCTCTCATTTCAGGATTTTGGGTACGTGCACACATGTGCCTGGTGTGTTTTTTCTAGGATTCAAATTGCTCAGTTGGTCCTGTGAGATCCAGCCACCTCAAACACCATGCTATTGGCATGCCCAGGAAATTATTATTATTATATTAACAGAAATAACTATTTTCACAAATAAAAAATTTCCAGGTACTGGATTAATTATGTTATGTCAGTCTTTCACTTACAGTGGTGTGCTAGAGCTGGACTGTACTTCCTCACAAGGGTCAACTGTTAAATAGTCTTCAATATTCAGAGTTTTGAAAACTGGTTATTAAATTGTTGGTACCTAGAGATCGGCCACAATGAGAAATCAGTAAATACTACCAGTCAAGGCTTTTTTTTTTTTTTTTTTTTCTTCTTTTTGTAGTTGATTTACTAGTATGGTTACCATACACAGGTGGATTTAAGAAAACAAACAGATCTGTTTTATAATGAGTCATTCCAGTCATAAGCAAGGAATTCTACATTTAATTTCCTAAATTAGAAGTAATTTTGCCCAGAGGCAGCAGATGGTATAATGGTTGCATCACTAGTCTCTCAAGTGGCTGACCATGGTTTGAGTCCTGAGCCCGGTGGCTTGAAAATCACACCAGGTGTATGTGTGTGCATGCCCGCCCAAGACCCCAGGAGAAAAATAGATTGCAGCTTGGCCATCCCCGCTAGGGGTTGATTTCTCACTTTCCCTCTTACTGTCTCTGACTCTCCACAAAGCATATATACCCTAAGGCTAAAACCTCTTTAAAAATAAAAAAAAGTAATCTTGCTCAAGTTAATATGACTACTTTTTATAAGGCAGTAAAAATCTATTCAAACATATATTTACCATATACAACAAATAAAGTAAATAAAACTCACATACCTTTCTCCATTATATTCTTCTAGGAGAATTTCTTGAAAAGCATCCAGAGGAAATAAGTGATGGTAAGACCGTGCCAAATGGGGAGCAGAAACCAAAGTGAGACCTAACATACACAACAGAAAGACACATTCAATAGTCTATACCTCATAAACACAGAGGCTAAACAGCCAAATGATGTAACTTAGGTAAATATTTTCAAAATTTTTTGGATTTGCAGGTATTCATTTCTCTAGTTTACTCCTGGTCACAAAAGGAGATTCCAGGATGTTGTCTTAGTTCTGTCACTGTGTCACCTCTCATGGCCTGTCACACACATATACACACACGTACATATGCACATATGGCCTCAAAAAGTTCATGGAAAATATTTATTATGAAAAAACTGCATGTATTCTAATATTTCTTGTTCCAAAATAAACTTACACTTTAATACCATTTTCAATGAACTTTTAAAAGTCGCTTCACATATATGTGTGCATGTGTAAATGAAATAAAATCCTAGATAGTTCTATTACTTTCTTCATTTTATTTATGTATTTATTTTACAAAGGTAAGACCTAGGAAACTGTCTACTAGATCTATTGCATTTCCTTCAAAGAATAAACTTTTTTTTCAGAAAGAGAATCAGGAAACACTTTTAGAATACCCTATTCATTCTTGAAAGTGGAGTACTGGACACTTATTTTAAAAGATTATTATTTCTCTTCGCATAGATTAAATCCAGAAACAGGGAGAACTCAATATTTACCTTTATTTCAGCAGCAATACAGATAAAGAGTTATTAAAAACTGATTTACTAAATAATGGTTTCTTACCACATATTTTACATTCAACAGGAAGCTCACAGTACTTCGCTCGACACTGTGGGCAGAAATAGCCTCCTAATGTAAGTCCTGGCTCAGTATTGCTATCCAAATGCCTGTGGGGGAAAAATTACTTTAAAATGGTAATATATAAAGATGTGTAAAGTTAGAACTATAAGGAAATATGTTACCTTGAGCTTAAATAATTTAGAGAAAGAAATTAAAAATGTAAAAATATCACTAACAACTTCAAGATCTTTACTTACGCCATGCTGAAAGAAGGTTTTGCATCTTGATCAGACAAAGAAGCAATGGTGTGTTGAGGAAATCCTTCATAGAAGAAAATGTATTATTTTCTTTTCCCAAGCAAAGAGTAGAATTCTAGGACTAAGAACCTAAAAACAGTCCTATCAGAAAGCCAACAAAGTTGTATAAAACCTCTCTTTCCTGTCACATAGATATGATTATATAGTCTAATAAAAGTGACTACAATTCTAAGCTACAATAAAAAATACACTAAATGTGGGGAAAATCTGACCATATATATACAGACTCTAAAGTTTATATTTTCTAAATTAGTAACAATTAACATTGCATCAAATTTTTTCATATAACTTTGAAAATAGTTTTTGACATAACTGAAACACCTGATTTTACTATTTAAGCATATATGTCCATGTTTAAAATTTTGGAATGTCTAAACTATTCATTTAGCTTGTTTTCTATATATAATTTTAATTTTGAAAATAAGAAAAACAGAAACCATTAGAAAAAATTTCATTACCTAAGAATTTAAAATCTGGTGCTGGCAGGTGGTGTGGTGGTTAAGGGTCCTGAACTCCCATATGGCTAACTGTGGTTTGAGTCCCAGACCTGACAGCTTGCTTTCTCATTTTCCCTCTTTCTCTCACTGTCCCCTGTCTAGTCAAATTAAAATAAATAAATAAAGTTAAATAAAATAATTCTTAAAAAGAATTTAAAATCTACCTACACATCAAAACAAATTAAGTAAAATGAATAAAGGTAAAAGTAAATACCCAACAGAGGGACTAGCAGTTGGTATAATGGCTATGTTGTTGGACTCCCATACAGTCGACCGCAGTTTGAGTCCCAGAACCGGGGGTTTAAACTCATGTTGGGCGCTTGTGTGTGTGTGCCCTAGATCCTGAGAGGAGAATGGAAGAGAAGGGACTGTGCCGTGGCCATTCCCCTGGCGGGTGATTTCTCACTTTCTATCTCTGTGTCTCTCTGTCTTTCTGACGAGCACACATGCCCTATAGTAAAAACCTCTCCAAAAAAAAAAAAAAAATCCAATGGAAAAATATTTGCATCAGGCGACTTAGAAGGAATTGATCCTCCTAAAGGATCAATCTAACAAAATTCATTTGGAAAATAAATTTGGCCAGTGGGTGGTATGGTGGTTAAGGTGGCTGGATCCCATATGGCTGACTACCTGGTTTGAGTCCTAGACCCAGTGAAAAACACACCAGGCCGATGTACATGTGTGCTCCAAATACCCCGAGAATGGAGAAAGGACTGCAGTTGGCCATCTTCCCTGGGGAATGCTTTCACTTTCCCTCTCTATTTCTCCCGTGAGCATACGTACCCTATAGCAAAACTTTAGAATAAATAAATAAAAATAAAAGAGAGAAAAAAAATTATAAGTTTAAATCATAACTTTAAAACATGCTAGAGGGGCCGGCATGTGGCACGGTGGTTGGCGTGCTGGACTCCCACTTGGCCAACTATCATTCAAGTCTCAGATCTGGTGGCTTGCTTTCTCACTTTCCCTCTCTTTCTCTCACTCTGTCCCTTTCTGGTCAAATTAAAATAAATAAAAAAAGTTAAAAAAAAAAAAAAAACATGCTAGAGAGGGGCTGGCATGAGGTGTAGTGGTTAGGGAGCAGGACTCCCACATGGCTGACCATGGTAAGAGCCCTATGGTTTTAACCGTAACAATATAGAAAGCTAGTAGAGTTCTCTGAGTGACAAGATTATAGGTAGTTTTGATTTTTTTTTTTACTTCTTTGTATTTTCTAAAACTACTTTAACAAACTTTTTTTTTTTTTTGGAGAGATTTTTGCTAAAAGGCACATGTGCTCACTGGGCAGACAGACAATGACAGAAAGACAGAAAATGAGAACTCACCCCCAGGGGGGATGGCCATGCCACAGTCCCTTTTCCTCCATTTTCCTCTTGGGACTTTGGGCATGCACACATACGTGTCCAGCATGAGTTTCAAGCTGTAGGGTCCAGGACTCAAACCATGGTCAACTATGTGAGAGCCTAATGCATTAAGTACTACATCAAACATTTTTTAAAAATAAAAAATTTAAGGTAAGACAATTTTTAAGTGCTAAAATAATGCACAAAAATCAAAAGCCTTGTTTGAGCCAAGAATATATATTTTAAATAATCTATTTTAAAATAACAACATAAACACTTACCCATACGAATAAGTGAGCATTCAGAACTTGAGACAGCAGGAGGAGGACTAACATGATGTGTCAGCAACTCTTTGTAATGACTTTCATCTAAAATAACATGGTATGTACCTAGCGAGAGAAAAAGTAAAAGAAAAAATCAGTTTTGCAGACGTAATGAACTATGACTTCTATGTAATTATGTAAGATGTTTTATCATCTGAAAATATGTATTTTCAAAAATAACAATTGTAGCTAAATTATCTTTTTCTAAAACTTTAAAGGCTATCTAAATCAACTTTTCTAGGAGTTACTATAATTATTATTTAACTAAATCCAAATTATAAAATCTTTACAAAGTATTACATCTAGCTTTCTAAGAGTTGTAATGCTTCCTTTAAACACTTGCATGATTTCTTAAAGAATCAATGTCATATTTAAGATAACTGCTCATATTCTGACTACCAGATATGAATTAAGTTTAGCAGATTAAAACAACCTAATTTAACTAATAAATTATTTCTTACACAGTAATTATTAATAAATACCGAAGATACTAGATATATACCACCAGTTTCACGAGCAAGCACGGTGCAGACCCGAACCTCTGCAGACAATCCAATAACAGACACTCTAATTTTAGCTGCCTTTAGAGTCTTCGTAAAAATCCAAGTAAAGAGTTTGAGGGGAAAAAGAAAAGAATTTAAGAATTAAAATATTTGGAAAATAAAAAGTACGCTAAAAATGAGTGATAATTTCACACAGAATTATCTTTAGAGTGATTACTGCAGTTTTGATTTATTTGCTCTACCTTGATTAGATCATAAATATTAGATGGATCACAAGTTGTAAGGCTGCTGAAGATGATTAGGACTTCTCGACTTGTATGTCCAGGCATGTGTCTAAACAAAGATAAATAAAATACACTCCAATTAAGTATAACAAATTATACTATCGAAAAATTTACTGAGAAAGACAGGACACATGGTTTACATATTTAGTCTATACAATACCTCATTTGTTTTGATATGGTAAGGAAATGAATTGTTAGTGTATATTAAACTTGATTGTACATGTTTCTAAAATGAGATGCACACTTGAAAAAAATTATTCATGGGGTCAGCAAGTGGCGTGATGGTTAAGGCACTGGAATCCTACATGGCTGATCGTAGTTTGAGTCCTAACTCTGCCGATTTGCTTTCTCCCTTTCCCTTTCTCTCTCTTTGTCTCTCTGTGGTAATTTGTTTCCTGCAGCAAATTAAAAATAATAATAATAATATTTGTGCTTTGCAGCAAATTAAAAATAATAATAATAATAATAATAATAAATAAAATTAAAATTTCTTAACAAAAACTATTCATTGACTAATTTGATAAATACTTGTTGAGGACTCTCCTAAGTTCTAAAGACTGTGATAAATTAGATCCATGAGGTTCTTTTTTTTCTTTCTTTTTTTTTTTTTTTTGGGGAGGTTTTTTTCTATAGGGCGCGGGCCCCGCC